TTATTATTGGTAGAAAGTGTGGCAGCATCAATATCAGTATTATGACTTGAATCCTGGTTCAGAAAAACAGACACTAAAAAAAGAATAGTGGCAGGAGCTGATTCTCCTGTAATCTGCCTAAAAAGCTTTATAATTTTATTGTCACTTTTTCCAAATCTGTTTCCCTCAGTAATGACAAGCATCTACCAGTATTGTTCAAGTGGCTTGCCTAAGAGAACTGTGCCCTCTGTGGTGCTTATATGTGGCAATAGCAAAAATGAAATGACCTTTAAAATGGAAATATAGAACGGATGTTGCTGCCAAAGAAGTCACTTTTGTGGTTATGTTTAGACCCTAAAGCTTTGTAAACATTTGTCGATTGAACTCTGGTCTTGTACATGCCAGGGCAAACTGTCTTAATGCATTTGTCAGTTGTGTTTTGGCTTAGTGTTTTGTGGTTCCTAAGTTGGATGAGCTGAAATAAAAAGCTAGCAGGCATTTTGTATGTGATCTCAGTAGCATCCGCATCTGTATGACATTCAGCCTTGATGTGCTTGTGAAAAAAAAATGTAATGGCTGAATCTGCTTATGAAAATTACTTTTAAATGTGTGTGTACTGGTCTCTCTCTCTCTACTGAAAGCATAGACATAGCTTCTCTTTTTTTCCCCTGACATTGAATTCTGGTACTGCAGAGATTTCTCTTTTTGCATGCTGTTGTACACTTCCTGAACATGTGAGAGGTAATAATTCTCTAAATGACTTCCACTGAAGAGGAAATAGATACTTGTAAAAACAAAGATGTGCATCTGGAATTCCACCATTCAGGAACTTTATTACGTTGAGGCCTTCCAGTTTGCAGTACAAAAAATTCTCAGGTACTAGTACATTATTTTTCACCAAGTTGGCAAGTGTTTTGATTAACTGTTATTGTAAGTGCCTTGTAAGCATACTGCATGCAAGAGTGAACATAATGTTGTCAGTATAAAAAGAACTTGTTTTTAATCTTACCAATACATTATAAATAGAAAGAATGATAGTTGGAAATGGAATTTTTTTGTGGCATCTACAAATCAATCAGCTCTGAATCAGAGCAATACAAATAATTTACAGAACCCAAATGGGGTTGTTACTGTCTGCCCTCACGCCTTAGAGCTTCTTTATTAAAAATTGGAAAAATGTAAATGTTTGCCTTTGCTTCAGTGAAATTGTGTGACTCTCATAGAACCAGCCATTTGGCAAGGCAGGATAGAATGGAAGGATAGGAATGGAGATTGGAGCGACAGCACTGCTTGGAACAAACAGTCACTGCTGGTTTTAATCTATGAAATTATGGGTATCATCAGGGTTTAATGTGAACAGCCAAAACCCACTGTAAACTTGCAGAGTTGATTTTAAAAGTAGGGCAGAGATTTTTCTCAGAATCTGTGTTGATCTTAGTTTGTTGGACAGATAACAGGAAAACGGAGATGTCTCTTGACCCATGTTCATTTTCTGTCTGCTGGAATGAATTTGGAACTAAATCCCATTTTTCCACTTGAGTATGTCCTTCTCTAGCAGTGTCAGGGCCTGGGTGGGGTCACTTGTTCAATACAGCTTTTCAAAATGACTGTTGGAGATTCTTATCAGATTACAACACTTTTTTCAGTGCTGGTGAAGAGCACAAAGCTATCTTGATAAACAGATTATATTTGTGCATAGGTACTCTGGCAAAGACAAATTTCTTGGTTCAAAATTTTCTGTTTGAGACTTATTCTTTGTCTTGTTATAGCAGTGTATTTGTAGATTGAAAATACAGAAGGAACAGATTTCTGTTATCTCTGTGTATGGCAGAGATAGCACAAAGAGAGCTGCTGGATGTACATTTACTTAAATGTGATCCCAGTTTCCAATGTGGGCATTGAAACTTGGCTACGTGTGTAGTATTTATGTTCTGATTTTCTTAAGGCCTTGGGGTTGAGTTTTACATGGTCTGTAAGTGCTGCTACAAACATGATGCAGTTTTCACTGAATTTCATTTGGTCTGGAAAACAGCACTTTCCAACATTATTTTCTTAGGTTTGTTGCACATTTTTAGACTGCTGCACAGTGTCAGGAGATAAATTTTAACAAAAATAGCTTTTAAAGAATCCTCACTGGCTTTCATGTCTTGTAGGATTATCTTTCCTTTCTGGAGTTTTCCTTCAACTGACTTATCCATTAAAACTAAACCTTTAAAGTTATATATGGATTTCAGTAACCAAGTTATTCACCAGGCAAAATGGAGATGGCCTGTGGCACTTGGGTGATAAGTAGTAGGTATGTGTTGTGCTGCTTTAACAGGAAAAAGGATTTTGGGAAATAGTAATGTTCCAGGATATAGTTTGAGTTTACAGAGGGTAGAGATGATTTACCCAGAGCTGATTTACAGAAATTTGTCAGCATAAAAGTTTTATTGTGAAAATATTCTATCAAAACTGAGTACTCACTTTGCGATTTCAGACAGAAGTCGATTTTTCTGTCACATTCAATTTACTGTCTATATCCTTGATTTTTTTTTTGTCTTCACAGCAATCTTCAGAATTACACTGGTATTTGTCTTACATTGTTGTTTCAGAGCTACCTTATAAATTCTCACCATCTTATGTAGGAACTTGCCAGTGTTTTTATGATGAGCTTTCTATGTTCAGTGCATTGGAAGGAATGGTTACGCAACTGTAATAATTTTCTCACAGTATAAAAATGAGTTCTAGAAACTTCAATGTTTAAATAAGGACAAGAACGTGTTTGGGAGGGAAATATTACAAGTTTGCAAGTCATCAAGTGTATGATGGCGTTGATATAAACATGAAGGCTAATAAAACACTTGTTATTTTGAATAGTGACTTCATTACCTAGATAAAAGGATTCTTATGAATATAGTTTCTATTGGCTTAGGGGCTGCTAGCCACTGTGACATGCCTGTAATTCCCTGAAAACTAGATTGGATAGGCATAGGGTTCTTTGGGAGGACACCACTGTGTGCCATTTCTACTCTTGGAGATAAGCATAGATGTTATGTGAATGTGTATGTATTTAGACACACACGTGTTCATGTACATGTGTAACTGATTTATATTGTCATCGAGTTGTGATTCATTGTCTGGCTCTGAAGTTATATTTATTAAAATATGCTAATACTTCTGTGAAAACATTCCATCACTTTTCATAATTGCACTTTAAAGTTTGGCCTCTGAAATGTGCTACTGACTTTCAGAACTATTATGGCACCATCTGCTGACCAACACACAGACTGGCAATGGCAGTTTGCTCACCTGTTTACCTCCCTGAGAATAAGCTCCCAGTTTAGGAGGAAGCTGAAGCAGAATCATGAGGGCAGTTTTTTCATGGGCTTACATTGACAAAAACTGTTACTAGGAGATGTTATTACAAAGGCAAAAGTCTGAATCAATACAGATTTAGTTGTCTACTCACCTGAATTATTCCTTAAGCTTCCTCCATGAACTGTGAAGCTTTAAAAGAAGGAATTGGGGGGTTTTTTTGTGTATATATGGCACAGAATTGTTCTTGGTAGTCTGTTTTTCAATGTGTTACCTTCTAAGCCTGCAGTGAAGTGCAGTGACAGCAGGAGATGTGTCCAGGCCCCAGCTCTGGTGGTCTTGTCACAGCCTGGGAAACCAATGGACTCTGACAGGCTTCTGCCCTGTGGCTACTGCAGAGACTCACAAAAAGCTGAGTCTGCAGTCTGTCTCTTCAGACTCTGCAGTTAACCTTGATTTTTGTGCACAGTGATCATCAGGGAAGGAGCAGACAGGAACAGTGCTTGTCATGTTCAGTGTGTGTAAATACCTAGGTTGGGATTCAGTTGCTAGGTATTGTCTTTGATTAATCATTTAAAAATAGATGGATGGATTTCATATGTATAAAACATGAACCCATTTCCTCTGCTTTTTCTGTTGTATCTTTTTTATCATACTCACTAGTTTGCTGAACTTTGACTTTTGTATGATCTCTTTTGTTTTAGGAATGAACTTAATATAATTCAATTTATTAGATTCAGCTTTCAAAGTATGTGTGTATGTATAAACACTTGTGTATTTATACATAGAGAGAACTGAGGTGTTTAGGGTTGATATTTGACTGCAGAACAATATATAATTGGGAACTGTATGATGTGAGTGTTGCAAATTGACTTAAGCCAACTTTAGAGATGTTTTTGCTTTCTTAAGGATGTCAAAATTTAGCATTTAATTCTTTAGTAGAATTTATTCCTTGGTGTTCAGAGCACTCCACATCTTTTAAATTTTAGTAATCTATTTAAATAATTACTAAAATGAGAAATTGGATTTGCTTTTTGCTTTGTCTGCTAATAGAATATGTGCAGGTTATATTGGCACCTTCAGCAAAACAATGCTACACAGAATCATGGTATACCACGAGTTTTGTTGTTTACATACCAGTGATAAAATACAGGTTTTAAAATTAGCAGAAATCTAAAATAAAGTTTAGTCACTACTTTCAGCCAAATTTGAAATATAAATTACTGTACAGAACTGATTTGTATTTTTGAAAAAATACAGTTGTAGTATCAAGTTCCTCAGATATTACCTACTGTTTAAACCAGAGTCTTTTAAACTCTAAAATATAAATAACTGCTCCAGCTAGGATTTTACTTCTTTATAGCTTTTGTATCAACAAATCTTACATGTTGAAAGCAGCAAGCATGAATGATGTGGCCTAACCATCTGTGAAATGCAGATCAGGCTTCTGCTGAGCTTCAGATCAATAATATGACAAGAAATAAACCATTTTATTTGGGAGAGTTTTGCTTTGTTTTAGGCAGTTGAAATACACATAACCTTGCTTCAGATTTTCATGTATATTTTTTCAGATGTTAGAAGTATTGTGTGATATATTTTTGTGTGTAGTCCATGTGAGAAATATTTGGAATACCGATGAAGATAGTGATTTAAAAAATACCTTTTTAATACTACGGTGATCCAGAAAATTACCTTACTTGAACAGACACACATTGGCTTTTAGTGCACTGAGCTGTAATTTATTTCTGTAAAAGTAGGTTGATTTTTTTCTTTTTGCTTCTATGACATGATGGTTGCTCTGTGAATCCTAGTAGACTGATGCAGATAAAACTATCGAAGTGGTTTTTATTTCTTGAGTTTGCTATGAATTTCAGTGACAAACTGAAAAAAAAGAAACAAGTTTAGGGCTGCATTTTCTACTTCTATGTATTCAGAAAATAAGTAACATGAGATCCAGAAATGTATGGGAAAAGGATCTGGATTTGTTTGTCTTTGCTGATAAATAAAAAATACTGTAACAGAAGCAGTGAATTAAAACACGCATAATCAAAGAAAACTTAATTTTATTGCAGCTGGTTTTAATATTGTCTGTGATCTTTGAGGTACACTACTTTTTTTCTTTCCCTCTCTTTTTTGCTTTATTTTTTTTTTTAACTTCATTTTATATTTGATATGTCTTCTGTTTCTAGTTTATCTATGGTGGCAGGAATCCTTTTGGTCAGAAAACTACGTATCAAGAATTTATGCTAGAAAGTGGAAGAAAGGTATCAACTAGCTGACGAATTTATACACCTGAGAGGAAGGAGTGTAAGGAAAGAATGTAGCATTCTTTTTTGCTTTCAGCTGGGAACTTGGGCCAGTGCTAAGTTCCTTCTCAGTACAATAAAAAGAGAGAGGAAGGGATGAATGGAGAGGAGTGAGAATATCTGTTGTCTTCAGTTGCTTCCTGGTCAGCACCCTTGCTTGGGGAAGCTGATGGAGTTATAAATGGAGTAGATCATCTGCTTCCTGTAAAAATGGGATTGGTTTTAATAAACTCAGCTTCTTGACAGAAATTATGAAGTTTTTTGCAGTACTTTTTTCCATTCCACCCTCACTTTCATCCTTGCAGTTTAGGTAGTCATTCAGTTGGCATGAGCCAAGTTTTCGGGAGGATTACAAAAGATACAGCTGTTATCACTTGTGGTTTAATGTTCATGGGCTTAATGTCAATTGCAACATCTACCAAGATTATTCTTTTCTCTGTTCAGACATTGGAAAGCCTTTATTTGAGCATCACCCTAAGGTTTCTTCTCCTTAGTCTACTCTTGCTGCAACACTGTTATTCTCCTTTCTCAGTCCAAATGAAACAGATTTAATGTTACCTTGCAATACAAAAACTGTGAGATATGGAAAACCCTATCAACCCTATCCTGCTGCAGTTGTTACAGAGCTTACAAAAGATTATAGGGGCGAAAATATTCAGTATGCTCACGTACATAGTAGGAATAAATGAGAGTTGAAGACAGGAAATCAAAACATGCAGTTGAAGTTGAGAATTCTAAATTTGCAATATGATTTGATTAATTTTTTTATTATATCACTTCTGAGACAAATGCTGTCTGCTGCTTGTTTCCATTTGCTTTCTGGCACACTGTTGGCTGTTACACTAGAGCTGGGTGAGATCATGTGAGGTCTTCCCTATCAGGGCAGGAAGGAATCAGGAAAAAGCTACTTTCAGAAAACCTGGTTTCTTGATTGCTTGACTGTTCTGAAGGTAACATCAGAGACTTTACAAGCTGCAGTAATACAGAACTCCAGTGTTTTTTCCCCTCCCTATCTGTTTTTTTCTGTGAGCTACAAAACTGGAGGATCTGACAGAGCATTGAGCTAGGGAATGTGAGACCCAATTTTGTTTCTCAAGGGATAGCTAATTCTTGTACCAACATGCAACTCTGGAAAAGAAAAATGTATCAAGCTGATGTGGTAGAGAAGGTAGGTATTTTGGGAAGACTATAACTTACACTCTTGGTCAGTGTCCTTGTGTGGTTAACTCATCCACCTCTTCACAGTTAATTCAGAGACTACTGGGAGCATAAAGAAATATACAGGCTCAGCAGAGAGGTGTGCTTCCTTTTGTAGGGTTCTCCTGTCTAGTCCTCTTCTCTACCTCTCTCCTCCCCATCCCAAAAAGCACTGCAGTTACAAGCTTATAGGAAATTGAGCTCATGAAAGAAATGCCTCCTGCTGTGGGCATCAAATAAAGGCATTAAGTGAACATGGACAGACAGGGGATGTAACAAGTTTCCCTTGCATCTGCAGTATAAAGTTATAAGTTTTCTTTATAACTTTGATTATGAAAACCTGGACACTTGGAGATGCAAAACCTTTCTTGTTTTGCATTAAGCAAGTTTGTGCCACCCACTGCTATTCTGTCTAAATTTAATCAGTTACAATGTGTAGCTTGGTATCTTCAGTTTCTTTTATTGTTAGAACAATATCATAGAGATGCATTTACAGGATGATTTATTTTGCTTACTTCTAAGGAATTTTCTGGTGATATCTCCTTTTTGACTATAATCAAATTGTGATATAAGTTTTGAGAGTGGTATATAATGATTTTTTATTAGTTTGTACATGTATTTCATGCATTTCTGCATATTTTGAAAAATAAAACAAAAAAGTGAAGGAAATATAGTGGCTTCCCTATAACTTCTTTGAAGATTGTATATCAAGTATTAGAAAATCCTTTTAGCTACTTTCTGAGAAAAAATTGGTTCTTTCTTAGAGATATATGAAAAAAAATCACCACCATCTCTGTTCCTTATGAAACCTCACTTATGAATTTATTAAGCAGATTGTTACTCTCTGATCAGCAGAAGTTTCAATTTTTCTCAGGGAAAGTTGAGTTTGGTTTCTAGATAGTGCTAATTTTTCATTTTGATAATGAAGTTTTACATTATTCTGTTAATAAGATAGCAACAATTTGGAAAGAACAGGAGTATTTCTGTGTGAGATACAAAGGTGATAGCAAAATGTAATTTGATGAATAGCAGCTTGAAAGCTTGCATACTAATATATACTTTAAATAGCAAGTTCTTTCATCTCAACAGTGAAATAGAAACCTGCCTTTCAGAGGCCTGTAACCTGAGATAAATAGTACTTACATAATGTTTAATACTTTATCACAATCTTTAATTAGTAGTATTGAAACTTGGAGGGTTTTATGAAAAGTGGTAGAAATGGCTACATAAGTGTAATATTTAAGCTAGACATGTATTCAGAAGTCTCTTGTGTAGCAGTAAAAGTACTAAATTTTAATTTAATTCCCCCTTGGGGAATGCTTTGATTTTAGACAGTGAAGTGTTAAGTGATGAACAGAAAAAAAAACCCCTACACACCATTGTAGCTGCTTTGGTCTCAAGATGCTTAATGTGAATTTGCCTGTAGACAGTTCAAGGCTCCCATGTCTCGGCTTCTTAGTAACTGTCAAGATGGTGTTTCCTTTGGCTCAGTGTTGCGCATCTCTTTGGCCAGAATGGCTTCTCTTGTATATTTAGGTCTCTGTTAGCTTCCTTTTTTTCTTTCTTTCATATTAGGATTGGTTTAGTTTAACTAGTTCTGGCTGCCCATGGATGTGCTTTGGAAACCTGGAGGCAAAGTGTTGCTGCTGTCTTGTGGTCTAAACTAGTTCTCAGTTGGCTTCAAATGCAATTTAAAGTGCTGTGCAAGTTAATTGCATCAAGCCTGAGCTCGATAACCTTCTTGACTCCTTTTTGGGCATGGGTGAGAGCAGTGGAGTTCAGCAAGAGTCCTGAACCTAAGAGCCTCCTGCATCTAATGGCATGCAGTGAAGATAATCATAATGGAGAGGGTTCCCATGTTATAAAAATATAAATGTGATTGTAACTCACTGCGAAACTCTAGGCCAGAGAAACAGACCATCAATTTAAAATTAATTGTTTACAGAAGACTGTAAGTAAATATCCATGATGAATAATGAAATCTAGCCATTATAAACTTTTGTTGGACCCTTGCATGCTTATGTATGTTGGCTCACTTCAATAAAGTGGAAAAAAGTACTTATACTACACTTTTAAAGCAATACAGCACAGTACAGTGCCACACAAATAACAACTTTTTTTATTCTAGTTAATATTTTTTTGCAAAAATACCATTAATGTTATGTTGAAAGGTTGTTATTGCATATCCTGTTGTTACAGTATTGTGATTTATCTTCAATTTCACTGAAGGAAGAGTAAGCAGAAGTGATGAGAGTATGAGTTGTATATGATTTTGTGTTGATTGGTATAAACTTATTAAAACCCAATCTTAGCTTAATTAAAAATGTATGCTCCCCAGCATTATTAGCAATTTCAATAATATCACTGGCTTATAATTTCTCCATTTTTTATACTCACTATCATGCTCAACTTCCTTGTGTCCTGTTCTTTGGTAATCTTACTCTGTCACTTCCAATAATTTATTCTAAGTTGGTAAGCGTCACCAAATAGTAGGGGGGCTGTACCTACCATTATTACTAGAGAAGGTGGTTGCTCTTCTGAAAATTCATTTTCTGGGTCTGCTGAGGAGCTCAGTAGAAAGAGAACTGAAGTTACTTCTGAAATAATCTTGACCAATAACATTAGGAGCACTTTATAATAAAACAAATGCCTTTCAGTGAGCATACTTGAAATTTTACCAAGGAGAAAGAACCCATAGATCTTTTATCTACAGAGCACTAAGTTTTAGCTTACTGGTCTTACTTGTGAACTCAAAATTCAAAAAGAAATATTTCTTTATCCCTAATAAGTTTAATAATCTACAAGAGTTTATGAATTACTACAAATTACTGCAAATAATTAGTCAATAAAAGTAGTGATGCTGCATATTAAAACTATTTTTATTGTTGCTTCTTTTAGTGTCAGTTGTGATAATGACAACTGAAGTTGGTTCAGAGACTGAAGTAAAGAAGGATTCTGAGCAGCTGGGGCCAGACAAAGCCAAGGACAAGCCTGAAGAAGCATCAGAGACTCCAGGAGATCAAAAGTCCAGGGAAACATCCTCTGGAGAAGCTCAAGATTCTTCTGTTCCAGCACCAACTAACCAAAGTAGTCCAAGTAGCCAGAAGAAGGAAAAATCTTCACCTGAAAGCAAGGGTATTTCTCGTTTCCTTCCCCCTTGGCTTAAGAAACAAAAGTCATACACCTTGGCAGAGCCCAAAGATGAGCCCAAGAAGAAGGCCACAGGGGAAGAGCAAGTAGTTGAAGAAAGTGAAAGCCAGGCACTAGAGGGGGTGGCTCAGCCAAGAAAGAGCTTGGAAGAAGCAACTGAAAACCGACAGAATGCTAAAGCAGGTGACAGAGAAAAACACTCCATTAGTAGTGCTGAAATACAGGTATGTGTGGGAAGGCTCATAGAAACTTTGGAGTAATTTTAATGAAACTTGATTAATGCATTATTTAATTAATGTAAAGCTTTGCTAAGGTCATACTGGGGAAAAAATGACAGCTATTCCAGTAGCTAGGTTCTAGTCTGGCTTTTTGTGAAGTTGCATGTCAGTTCTTAACATTCATATTCTAGAGTGGTGAAGGCACATAGAGAATGTTTTGTATGAGGAGGGGCTGAGAAAGTTGGCACTGGTCAGCCTGAGGAAGAGAAGGAGGAAGGGGAAACTTATCAGTACCTATTAATACCTGAATGGAAGGAATGCAGAGTAGCCAGACCCTTCTCAGTGGTAGGCAGTTAGATGGCTTAAAGGAAGGGACCCAAATTAAACCCATGGAATTGCATTTCAAATTGCAAGAAAATCTTTTACTCTGATGGTGATAGGACCATTCCTTGGGAAGGGACATGGCCAGGTGGTGCTGGTGCAGATGATAGGCCTCCTAGGGTGGTAAAGGGGTGAGTCAGGCAGCGAACAGGTTGACTAGAGATATTGTGGAGTCTTCCCCTATGAAGATATCCAAAACCCAAGTGGATATGGTCCTGGGCAAATTGCCCTCTGTGGCCCTTGGGGCATTGGACTAGATCTCAAGAGATCCCTTCCAACCTCAAGCATTCTATGATTCTGTATCACTTGGCTTTCGTAAACACTGGGGTTTAGTTTAGTATAATTCCTGGAGTTCTTAAAAAATTTGTTTCTCTTTGGAAGAAAGCCAATAACTCATATTAAAAAATTCCAAACCTCATTTCAAGGAAAGGGGAAAAAAGGCACCTTCTCTTGTTTGAGAGCAAGAATATCTGGTCCCTAAAAGAAGACCTTAGTGCTTATGCTGGTTATTATCTTTCCAGTATGTGCATAACTTTAATGAATGGTTATTGACTTATTTATTAGTAGCTTATAAAAGGAATGAACAAGTTTAAAATATCCTCCTTTCTGAGTTTAACTGTATTTTATATAGCCTTCCAAAGAAGATGGTAAAGAAACAGAAGTAGAGGAAGTTGCAGAGAAAAAGGAAGAAAAACAAGAAGAAAAAAGGGAGACAAAAGAAGTGCAGACAGCTGAAATTAAAATAGATAACATTCCTCAGAAGTCTCCAAAGAAAATCAAAACTGTGCAGTGTAAAGTGATGCTTCTGGATGGCACAGAATACAGCTGTGACCTAGAGGTAAGGCTTCACATTGTTATATAAATAACTTTTTCTGTAGGGAAAAGAAAACTTGTTTTCACTGTACTGAATGTTAAATGCTATTGCTAGGAGTAAGTTAATGTTTCAGTTTAAAATTCTATCTTTAAAACCATATCAGCTTATTCTTAAAAATGCAATACACCTGCTGATTATTTGACAGCTCAAAATTGATTATTTTTCTAAAACATTAAGGTTTTCCTGAAGGTAGTGGGACATGTGCTAATAAAGTTTTCTTGAGTTCATTTTTTTTTTTTAAGTTATCTCAACTGGGGATAAATTTAAACTTTTTTCAACTTTAAAGTTTAAAATAAATTTTCTCCAGAAATAAAAATTCCATTACAGCTATAAAACAAATATTTCTATTCAAAGTTCTCTTCTAGTTCCATATTTTCACAAAAATTGTCTGCAGGGTAGTAACCCTGGAGTAGTTGTTGGTTTGGAATTTTATTTCCACATAAATCAGGGTGTTTAAATCTGAATGGTATTTCTGTTTTAATTAAAGTCTATGTGAGTTTTATCTTCCTGGGCTTTTACCCCATCCTAAAAGGAGAGTTAAATGAAATGGTGGCTTACCACAGATCCAAGAATATGCCATTTTTTTATTTATAACTGCACTATTTTAAGCCTGTCATGATCCAGTTAAGTCATTTGCCAAGAAATAAGTTTTCTCATTATTTGCAATAAGAGTTTCCTGTAAGAACAATAATAAAAGTCATTGAAGAGGAGAAAAAAAAGTTGTGAAGAAACAATTTGTTTTCTATGTTCATTTGAATTATTTATAGGATGTGAGCAGTGCTGACTGCAATTTTATGGATGAATTCAGATTCTTAAATACATGTAGAGTTTTTTATGCTCTACTACCATATCAAAATACTTAAAGTCTTTGAAAGCTACATCAACTGATAACTGACGTTTCAGTTTGTGCTTTCTGCAAAATATCCTAGTAGATTTCTGATGCTCTTTTTTTAGTCTTCCTTCAATATTTAGTGTTTGGGTAAATGTTCATTTATTTCTGCTTTTACAAAGTTACTGAAATGATGCACTAATGAAAAAGCAAAGAATCAATTTTTGCAGTCAAAGCCCAGTTTATCTTGGTTGACTTTCAAGAAAATCAGGTTTTAGTTTGGGGCACTTGTCATGATTTTCACATTCCTAATGCCTCTTCCAGTTTACTATGGACTGTAGACCAGCTTCTTTATATTTAAAGTATATACTTGCTAATGGCAAAATAAAAGTGAAAATACCTTGTTTTCATTACTGTTATTTAATGGCTTTTGGTAGAATCTTACCTTTTTCTAATAGCCATTCTAAACCTTCATGATAATTGGTAATAAAATCTGAGCTAATACACTATTGAAGGTTTTTCTGTTTGACTTGCAATCCTATTCCTTTTTTTCTTTTAGAACTGCATCAAATTGTATTCACATAAACTAAAAGGAGTGTGAAAGAAAACAAAATACAAAAACAAAATCTAATTAATTTAGTCTCTGTTAAATTTTGCCAGTTGTTCGTTCCTACTGTCTATAAGGCAATAGCTGGGAACAGGCATAAGTGGAAAGAAAGCCATGATGTAGTAGCTTCAGTTTCAGCACACAGATCAAGACTTATCAGGGTTTGCAGCAGTAACTAAATACTGAGAGTTTTGTGGCATATTAGTAGATATAGTATTATACAATTAACTAGTAACAGTGATAAATCATAATATGAGGACTTAATACTTGAGTTAAGGTATTGTATACCTTAGATTCACTAGAATCTAAATAGAAAATCTTGAATTAATAGTAATGCTTTGTTTGTTAAAAAATAAGTGTTGATGCATTATTCTTAGAACATAAGCTGTTTCAATCAGAAAAGCTTTATTCTTCCAGCTTGAGTATGTTCTAATCAGTAAAAGGTTAATGGCAAGAGCTTGAAGATGTGATTTGGAAACTAATGGAAAAAGGGAGGGTTATGGCTACATGTGGGAACATTTGAGATGCAGGGACAAGTTCCCATGGGACCTTATAGAATACACCCACCAGTACTCAGTGAGCTGGCTGGTGTTCCTTCAAGGCCAAACTTGACCATATTGGAAATGTGCCAGCAGCTAGGGGAACTTATTTGGATTTTTTTGGGAGGATTGTAAAAGCAAATGTCATTCCTATTCTCAAGAAACTTTTTTTTAATGCCATCTTAGGTTCTGAAAATTCATAGTTTTGTATGGCTTTTTTAGCAATATTAGGTTAGTGGTCACTTATTTATGCTTGTAGGAAAAAGCACTTGCATAAAATCTCACATATTTGTCATGGTTGTCCAAGTACCTGTTTTTCTTTAGCTTTTTGGTGTTGCCTTTTTTTTTTTTTTTGGTGGGGGGGGTTTGTTTGGGTTTTTTTTTTTTTTTTTTTTTTTTTTTTTTTTTTTTTTTTGGGGTGGTGTTTTTCGTTTTTTTTTGTTTTGTTTTTTTAAGGAAGATAAATCCCTAAGTAATTAAGTACTCATAGGCTTGTTCTGCACATGCACAATTACAAGCCTGCACTTTAAGACTTCATACTGTCTAGAAGGGCAGATGAGTTCAGGTATAATAACCATAGCATTTCCTATTAACAGCTTCTAAAATAGCAGCTCTTTTGTTACTGCTCATTGAATTCCGTGATACATGCCAGTTGTTTAGTCTGACACCTCTCTCATAAATTCCTTCTATTTTTTCCTTACTTTAAAAAGCACTCTTAGATATAGATTAAGATGCTAGATGAAGAGTTCTGACAGGTTTTTTAACTTTATTTCCATTCTATTTTCTGTCCATCCATCCTGTTCATAATTTTTCCTGAGAGAACAGAATATCCACTGACAATAGTCTGTGTGCTTAGGAAGAAATGCCATTTCAGTAGACCAGAAACTGCTGTCTAAATTCCTGTCCATGTGATAGTTAGATTTCTATCCTGCTTATATTCCCTTTTGCTTTGTGAGTTTAATTTTGTTTTAGACAGATTTGTGGCTATGTTTCTTCAGCTCCAGTGATTTAAAACATTTCAACATACTTAATTTTTTATAACATGATTTTGAATTTTGAATGGGGAAAGAAGGAAACATTGTTTCATATAATGTCTTGTACAAAACTCAGTTTTTACACGTACACAACCACCCACTCCCCCACTTTCCATTCCCCTCTAACACTCAAGCTGATTTTGTTTCTTATTTTGCAAAACAACATTTGGTACATATTAAATCAGAATAATTTCTCAAAGATTACAGAAATAGATTTTTTTTCCAGCTTAAAAAATTGATATTTCAATTCAGGAAAGTATTGGTGAGCTGTTACAGAATATGTAAAATAGTTATATTAGAAAAGAGGCAGCTACAGTTTTTGCTTAAGGTTGATGTTTAATGACAGTTCATCTGGAATTAGCTTTTTTAAAAATGTGTCATCTCTGAGACTTAGACTAGGCAGCAAAAGCTCTGTAGAGGTTGTTCTGAACCAGGCTTTCCATGCTTCACTGAACATTTTTAGAAATTTCATATTTACCAAGTGACAAGTGGATATCATAACTTGCTGTAAATTGAGTTCAGCTATATTCTGAAACATTTAAGTTCTGTAGAATGAAGCTGAGGTAGGCAGAGGGATGAATTTAAGTGAATTGGTGAAGTCCTGTAACTGTAATGTGGCTGAAACAAATTTGTGTCTGTTGACTTACTTGTTTTCTGTCCTGGCTACCACAGGTTGGGTTTTGTAATAATAATCTTTATATTCTCAAGGATCTTCTTGTCTCAGTACAGCAAGATCCCCTGTAAGCAAGAGGTTAATGCTACATTATTATTGTCAGCTGAAGAAGTTACAGATGGAAGTAGGTTTTGCATAAAGAAATTGTATATCATGTCAACTTTTTTTATTGTTCTCTGGAATCTTCAGATGGGAGTTTTTGGAGCAAGTATATATAAGAAATTGAATATATATGTACTATTTAAGAAAAAAAATACAAACCAGCAAAAATTGCAATCCAGTTAATAATAATAGCCAAAAATTTTCATGTATGTGCATTTTGTTCTAACTTTAAGTAGATCAATTTTGGATGAATTGGGTATATGCGCAAACTTAGCATCTATTATGTTCAATAAAAAAGGGATTTATTACAATTCAACTAGTTAATATGAAATTGATCTAACTTCTGCCTAAGGAGGTGTTTTCTTGGAATCTGTATTGAGTTAAAGCACCTCTTGGAAAAAAGAAGTCTATGTGAACATACAGGTTGCATTGAGAAATATATCGGAGTGAACAAAAACTGGTTTCTGTGACAAAATGTTCTGAAAGTGAATTCCTGTGGTGAGTGGTACAGATTAGAAATGGGTGGGAGGTGCTCATTTGGGAAGAATATAGCTTTAAGATGTTGAGATAGTATACATGAAATTATGGGGGAAAAAAAGTTCATTCCTGGTGAATTAGCATGTTTTTAATGGGATATTAAAACATATTTGCAAATGACTGTAATTTGATGCTGTTCTTCCATAGTTCAGAATTTGTCATTAAATATTGCTGTAGGAGTACAGGTACATTTGAACCTTTCTTGTTTCTTTGCCACTTGGGTTTTTGTGTATTGATAATCACTTTAAGTTCTTTTTTTGAAGCCACCTAGCATTATTTGAAAGTGGAGTTATTTCTTCTGGCTTGTTTTTGCATGTCTTTCCCATTGCCCCAGGCGTGCCTGACATGGTTGATCTTTAGATTTCATTATAAAGCAAATTTCAGATATTTGTCTTGTTTGGTGTTACTTTGTAAACTTAATTTATCACCTCTGAGAACTCTTAATTTTTCCCTGAGAACTCTTTATTTTGCCCTAGTAGGTCTTCTGAGTGATGTGAACTTGACAGTTTAAACTTAAAGTCAATAATACTTTATCTGTGGAACTGTTTGAACAGATATTTCAGTTTCTTTTATTTTTACTTCTCATCTGTCTTTCTACTTTCTTTACTTTTAAGGATTTGAAGGACCTGGTTTGTAACCTTTCTGGAGTATAGCTTCTCCAAGTATCCTTGTCTGAATGCCAGTATAGATGCAACACCTAAGGTACTTCTCTTTGCCTAGAGAAGTTCATGATATGAGAGCTAAATATTGTGCTAGGTGAAACCTGTTCTTCAGTTCTTTGTAGTTTGAAATTCTCACTGTAGTGTTTTGTGGTTTTTGGTCTTTCCCAGAAATGAATTGCATTCAGTTCACCAATGCAGAGATGCTGATTGTAATCTTGCATAGTTGATAAAATGTGGTCTGTAAATAATTACTGTGCATCTTGGCTACTTGCTCTGGGAACTTAAAATTTGAGTTGGAGTAGTGTTACAAAGATTTATACCAGCCACTCTTCAAACTTGCTTTATATTGTTATTTTGGAACCTGTAAAGTTTTATAAGGTAGCAAAATATCCTCCATTATAATGTTATATTAAATTCCTTTACCTTTAATATTTTAGTTCCTTAAGTCCATAGGTTCCATATTAATAAAATAGATTGATTTTCTGTGCTTTACTTTAAAGGACTCTTCTGAAATAAATCACAAAATAATATTGCATGCAAGTACTGTACTAAAGCATGAGTTACATGTACACAATATGTGCATTCAGAGCATGAGCAATTATTTTCATTATTATAAGCTTAAAATTATTTTAACTCTTAAAGAT